ATTTGGCCCATCGAGCCTACACCGACCCTCCGAGGAGCATCCCACCTAGACCCACACCCTACACCATCCCTGTATTTCCCACGCTAGACACTATGGGTGATTTAGCATGGCCAATCCACCTAACCTGAACATCTTTGGACAATGGGAGAAAATTGGAGCACTCAGAGAAAACCCACGCAGTCCCACAGAGAATGTGCAAACTCCACACAGAGAGTTCCCTGAGGCTGGAAGCAAACCCAGGTCCCTGGTGCTATGCAACAGCAGTGCTAACCACTGAGCCACCATGCAGCAATCGCCAGACAGGGATGTTCCCTCCCAGTGGGGGAATACTTCAGCGGTCGTGGACATTCGGCTTTGGATCTTCAGGTAAACCCTCTCCAAAGTGCACTTTAGGATACATAACAATGCAGAGTCGCCGAGCAGAAGCTGATAGCTAAGTTCGGTACCCATGAGGTCGGCTTCAACTGGGACCTTGGGTTCATGTTGTACTACAGGTAACCCCACCACACTATACACTCTCTCTCTCACACACACACACACACACGCACACATATATCCTCTCTCATACACACACTGTCCTCCTCATCCAAACAGATCCTGGGTATGCATACGGCTTGTCTGTAGGGAATGGCTGTTTTAATATGTTTAGAGTGGAAGCTCAAGAAATCCAACATTGTGAGGTTATCCGTGGGTTTGCGGTCGACTGAGGTACAGAGGTGTCCGTCCTTGGTGGAGATGCGAGTATTCAAGAATGAGACTGATTCTAAAGAGTAGGCCATGGTAAGTCTGAATGTGGGATGAAACTTGTTGATATCATTATGCAGTTGTTTCAGTGGTTCCTCGCCATGAGTCCAAAGGAAGAAAATGTCATCAACGTATCAGGTGTATAGAGTTGGTCGGAGGTTCTGTGCAGCAAAGAAGTCTTGTTCAAACCTGAGCATGAAAATGTTGGCATACTGGGGAGCAAATCTGGTCCCCATGGCTGTTCCGTGTGTCTGGATGAAGAACTGGTTGTCCAAGGCGAAGATGTTGTAGTTAAGGATGAAGCGGATGAGTTGTAGGATGGCATCTGGAGATTGGCAGTTGGTGGTATTGAGTACTGAGGCTGTTGCAGCGATGCTGTCATCATGGGGGATGCCAGTGTAGGGTGCAGAGGCGTCCATTGTGGCCAGGATCGAGAATCCTAGAGGCTGTGTTGCCTGCCTGGTACCCGTGTTCAGGATCTCTCTTCTGGACTTCAGCGGAAATTAGAGTGGGAGGGGAAAAATTCTGTCCATGTAGGTCCCAATGATGTGAGTAGAAAGCAGAAAGAGGTTCTGTTGACTGAATGTGAGCAGCTAGGAGCTAAATTACAAAGCAGAGCCAAAAAGGTGACAATCAACAAACAATAGGAGCATGTAAAAGATAGAGTAATAATTATAGGTGACTTTAATCATGTTGATTGGATTAATCAAATTGGAAAGGGTAGCTACAACAACGAATTTAGAGAGTGCATTCGGGATAGTTTACGAGAGCAATATGTCATGGAGGGAGCAGGCTATCTTAGATCTGGTAATGCGTAATGAGCCAGGTTTAATAAATGAAAATAGAGATGGCCTCAATTCAGTGACCCTTCCTCAGAACTTCTTCACCAGACCCGAAACGTTAACTTTGATTTTTCTTCACAGATGCTGCCACACCTGCTGAGCTTTCTCTATTTTTGTTTCTGATTTACAGCATCCACAGTTCTTTGTTTTTTTATCAGGATTAATAAATGATCTCCAAGTAAAAGATACCCTAGGAAGTAATAATCATAACATGATAGAACTTAATAATCATGTTAAGTGTGAGAAACTTAGAGTGGGAGCAGAAAGATTTAGTTGTCATCCACACAGGCACCAATGATAAATGTAGAAAGCGGAAAAAGGTTCTGCTGAGGAAATGTGAGCAGTTAGGGGCTAATTAAAAAGCAGAACCAAAAAGGTAATTATCTCAAGATTACTACCTGAGCCACAAACTCATTGGCACAGGGTCAACAAGATTAAAGAGGTATGTGCATAGCTCAAAGACTGTTGTGGGAAAAATAGGTTGAAATTTATGGACATTGGCACCATTACTGGAGAAGGAGAGAGCCAATGGAATGGGTTGTACCTGAATTAAGCTGGGATTGCATGGTTAGTGATGGGATTGATTGTTACCAGAAAATAAAAGGAAGGGACAGAATGTGTGAGTGTCATATCGTACCAAGGAATGATAAAAGTGTAGGGAAATTTAAAGGCTTTGTATCTTAATGTAGAAAGTGTTCAGAACAAGGTATACAAACTGACAGTGCGAATCCAAGTAAATGAATTTGATTGGGGAAACCTGGAATGAGAAAGTCAAAACTGGGAACTTAATTTTCAAGGGTCTTTGACCTTTCGGAGGGATGGAAAAGTTGATAGTGCTGCAACGTTGATAAGAAATTAATTGAGAACAGTTTTGAGGGATGATCTACGCTTGGATTATATATAGGAGACAACAAGGTGCAGGGCTGGATGAACACAGCAGGCCAAGCAGCATCTGCTCCTATGATGCTGCTTGGC